GAAGAATTTTACCTTAGCCCAAACATCCCTGGAATTGCGGTCCTCACGTGAACATCATTTGTGGATCATCTCTCAATAAAGGCTGAAGACTTGAGAACAGCTCTATAGGAAATGGCTTAATTACAGAGCAACTCTACCGTATTTATTATCCCCAGTATCTGGCCCTTTGTAGTTGCCCAATAAATATTCCTAGAATAAACGAGAACCATTTAGACGGATGTTAGAATTTTCTGGAAATCTCCTAAGACACAATGTTGAATTTTCCAAGGAAGTTATGTTATCTTCTCTCTCTAGGTTTTCTGAAAACACTCTCTAAGATGTCATGTATGTATGAATGAAACACTTGATGTGACCTCTGGCGACCCTCCCTAGCCCATAATCCCATATTTGCCCACACAAGGATGCTGACTTGAGGCCTAAGGATTCTAGTGAAAGTTTCACAGCCAGCACAGTCCCAGCAACCAAGGTTAGAAGATAGGAAGATGGGAGCCTTGTGGGAAGAAGGTGGGTACAGGTAACAGCACCGGCAGGGATGGGCAGAATTCTAAGGTTCCCACCCCCATGGTCATGCCCTACATACTCCCCTCCCCTTGAGCGAGGGCTGCAGCCTCACTCAATATGACTGTGAATATGATTGCCCTCCTTGACTAGGTTACATCACGAGACAAAGCTAAAGAGATTTTGTAGATATAATTAAGGTCAAAAATCAGTTGATTTCGAGTTAATCAAAAGGAAGACGATTATGGGTGGGCTTGACCTAAATCAGATAAAAACTCTTAAAAGAGAGACTGAGCACATCCCAAAGAGAGGCGCTCTCCTCCTGGCCCCGAGGGAGCAATAGCCACATTGCGAGCTGCCTGTGAAGAGGAGCAGCTTCTGGAAGCTGAGGCCTCCGCCCAACAACCACAGGAAGGTGAATTCTGCCAACGCCAATGAAGTTGGAAGAGGACCCTGAGCTCCAGGTGAGAATGGAGCCCAGCCAACACCTTGATTGTACCCTCACGAGACTGTTGAACAAAGCATCCAGCTAAGCTGTGCCTGGACGCATGAACCCAAAGAAACTCTAAGATAATACATGTATATTAGTTTAAACTGCTAGAGCTGTGGTGATTTGTTACACAGCATTAGAATAACTAATACAGGCATAGTTACTAAGATACATGGCCGAAACCACGGGGGATGGGCACAGTATGTAAAATACAAAACAGTGCATGGAAGGGGGATACACTGGCATTCCAAAGTCCATCCTTGGGCACAGAACTTCCGGAAATAATAGGTCAGAGGGCACTAATCACGCAGTTGTGATTGTTTACAGGTCTGTCTTTCCCTAAGCAAGTTCTGAGGGGTCTCTGCCATCATAGAAGATTTTGCCCTGACCCCGGCTCTCTGAGTACAGGAATGAAGACGTCAGTATATTCATGGTCTGGCTGAGGAGTCAAACACACACAGATATGCGTGGTTGAGACTTAGTGCTGCCTTGGAAGATTGAGTGAGGTGCTCCAGGAGCATTAGGGGCCAATCTGTCTGGTGGGGCGGGGAGGGGAGAGCTGGGGAGGTGGGCAGAAGTGTTTACAGAGAATCCACAGAATTTTTGAGACATAAAAGGTGGTTAGAAAAATATATATACATATATATATATTTGTTTGTTTATTTGTTTTAATTGCTACTGCATGTGGGTAAATTATGGGAGAAGATGGAGATCAGCTCAGGCCACTTTCTGAAGGGTCTTCCTCATATCAAAGGCTGAGATTTGAAGGGGTTTTTTGTGGCTGTTGATAATTGATGCCAAACGGCAAAAACATTCTACATCCATGTGTGTTGTGGGAAGGTCTATGAGACAGCACACGGCAGTAGGAGGCAAAACCAGAGGCGAGAGAAGCTGTAAGAAAGCCAGTGCAGGATGCAGACATGTTCCACTCCTTCCTCTGTCCCTGCTGTGAGCACAGGGCCCATCCAGGAGTCGAGGCAAAAAGTGCTTGTTGAATCATAAACTGACAAATCATCAAAAGAGGGCTCCCGGGATTCCCTGGTGGCGCAGTGGTTGAGAGTCCGCCCGCCGATGCAGGGGACATGGGTTCGTGCCCCGGTCCGGGAAGATGCCGTGGAGTGGCTGGGCCCGTGAGCCATGGCCGCTGAGCCTGCACGTCCAGAGCCTGTGCTCCGCAACGGGAGAGGCCACAACAGTGAGAGGCCCGCGTACCACAAAAAACAACAAAAAAAAGAGCGCTCCCGAGGCAACAGGCATGGAAGCAGCCATCACTGAAAAGTCGAAAGAGTTTTCACTCACCATGGAGCTGGGAGAGGGGATATTTTAGGCCTCCAGGGTCTGAGAGATGAGGCAGAGGACAAGGGTTGAAATAGCAGAAAGTCCAGACTCAGGACCTCTGCTGAGCTCTAGCTGGAGTGGAAGTGGGCAACCTCAAGGCCTGAGGGGCTTAGAGTGTCTCAGAGATCCAAGCCAGCACCATCGTCCAGGCTTGGGGTCCTCCCTCACCCCTGGGGAGAGCACATTCTAGCTCAGGCTACATTTATCACCCAATCCTCCCCATCAGCTTTTTAGGGAGCTGTTCCTTTTCCACAGGCTCATCCTTGCCCTTTTCCCCAGTCCCTCGTCCCATGCTTACCCCCAGCTGCTCCCTCTCAGAAGGAGGTTCATCTCAAGACAGGGCCAGAAAGGACCACTCACTTGACCAACTTGACCAAGTGCTTCATAATATAGATAAGGGACCCTCTTCTCTGTCTTCTGACTCAGAGATAAGATTTTCTCTTTTCTGCCAAAACCTAATAACTCCTCTGTCTGTGCTAACAATCCCTCTATCCATTCATTCATTCGTCCCCTTAGTTATTCACCAACAAGTATTTATTGAACATAGACACTATTCTAGGCACTGGGATGCAGCATCGAACATGAAAGGCAGGATCCAGGCTCTCGTAGAGCTGACACTCGAGAAGGGGAGGCAGAAAATGAGCATCGAGCAAATAAATGAACTAGAAGATCTCAGAGTAATAAGTGCTCCGAAAAAAAAAACAAAAACAAAAACAGTCAAGTAGTAAGTGTTCCACAATGCCTCTTGGGTTACCTTTTGCAGCGTACTTCAGACCAACCACCCAATGGCCTAGGCCAAAAACCCAGGAAGCATTGTGGACTCAACCCTCTCACTCATTTTTCACATTCAATTATCTGTCCCAAAGCCACGTGTATTCCATTTCTCAGTGACTCTGAAATCCGTCTGTCCTTCTCCATCTCCCTGACACTTCATGCAGACACCATCACTTATTGACCAATTTATTGCAGTATTTCCCTGATTAGCATTCTCTCTCTAGTCTTGTCCTCTTCCTGCACGTCATGCGCCTGCTTAAAATTGTTCAATGGTTCTCAACAGTTTCTTCAGTCAAGTTCAACCCCCTTAGCCTAGCACACAGGCCTTTCATTATCTGGGTGCTACTGAACCCTTCAGCCTTGTTTCCCTGCACTCACTTGCCCCACACAGCTTCCACTCAGCCATCACTGCAGATCTACATGTGGAAGTGTTACCTGCCTTTGACCTGCTGCACCCTCACTTAACACGCCCTCTGCTCATCGTACTCTAACTTCTTTGTTCAAATGTCACCTCATTTTGGAAGACCCATGGAGTTTTTACAAGGATTACATTGAAAAGATATATGAGGGGGCTTCTCTGGTGGCACAGCTGTTGGGAATCCACCTGCCAATGCAGGGGATATGGGTTCAATCCCTGCTCCGGGAAGGTCCCACATGTCGCCGAGCAAGTGGGTCCGTGCGCCACAACTACTGAGCTTGCGCTCTGGAGCCCACGTGCCACGAATACTGGGACCCACATGCCTAGAGCCCGTGCTCCGCAACGGGAGAGGCCACTACAATGAGAAGCCTGCGCTCCGCAATGAGGGGTGCCCCCCCAACCCCCCACCCGCCGCTTGCCGCAATTAGAGAAAGCCTGCGCGGGCCCAATGCAGCCAAAGATAAATAAATTAAAAAAAAAAAAAAAAGAAAAGATACGAGAAACGCTTAGCCCAATAACGGCATTCAGCTTATGTCTTATTTACCTGATGAAATTTCTTGCATTTGGGGCAGGCATAATTAGCATATAAATAAAGTTTTCCTATTTGCAATGAAACCATCTCATAATATAGCCTCTGAGGTGGGGGACTTGTCTCCCTCATTGCTTTAATGAAATGGAAATTTTCCTTCTCATTTATGTTTTTGTTGCTTGATACTTGCTATTATCATTTGAGCTCCTAACCATTATTCTTTTTTTTTTTTTTTTTCTTTTACGGGCCCCTCACTGTTGTGGCCTCTCCCGTTGCGGGGCACAGGCTCCAGACGCGCAGGCTCAGCGGCCATGGCTCACGGGCCCAGTCACTCCGCGGCATGTGGGATCTTCCCAGACCCGGGCACGAACCTGCGTCCCCTGCATCAGCAGGCGGACTCTCAACCACTGCGCCACCAGGGAAGCCCCTAACCATTATTCTTAATGGCCTGGAAGTGATTCTGATGGATCCCAAGATTGGAGACAAATACCTTGAATATATCATCATCCCAACAGAATACACAACAATAATTCACTGTAGTTCCTGGCCCTGAGGGTTGGCTGTTGCAATGTCCAATTTCACGATGTTTCTGGGCACATTTGCAGCCTCTCCCTACTCCCAGGGCACTGGGAGAATCCATCAACCTGCCACTCTTCGTGGCAGGGGACCACACACCTCTATCAACCCAAAGTCTATCTCGAGATGCCCTTCCTAGGCTGACTTCTAACACCATAACCCTGATCTTCTACGGGGGCTTTAGGAACTCTCTGGGAAAGGTAAAGCTGCTTTCTGAGAATGGATTTTCCTTTGGACACCTGTGCCCCGATAAGGTTTCTCTCCCAGCACATGCCCACAGGAGCACATATCCAGTTCTTACTGGGTCAGACCCCCTACCTGTGTGGGAGCTGTCTCTGAGGGTGAAAGTCCCCAGAAGGGGTAAGCAGTTCTCTTACTTGCATTCAGCAGTGTTCGGATCCTTTTCTCCTCCTCAGCTCCTTGGACTTGCTTTTCTGCCAGCATCTTGTCCTCTGACTCTGTGCACACCTCAGCCTCCCGCAGGTACTCCAGGTAGTCAATCTCCCGCTGGGTACGTTCGACTCTCAGGGCCAGGTTATGGACCGCGCTCTTGTACTCACTTGTGTACGTCTGACATCGTCCCAGCATAACGGATATGTTTTTCGAGAACTCTTGGAAATCTTGAATGTATTCTCTCGTTGCTTGGGTACATTTCTGCAGTCCTTGCTTCAGTCAGAAAATAAATGCCCAAATTACTGCCAGTTATTTAACTTGCCCAAGTAATATCAACAGCTCTCGTTCACAGGAAAAAGACTTTTAAAATACAGATAGTCAAAAGGGGGGAAAATAAAAATCACCCACAGTTCCTTAATTCAAAGGACTATTGACACTTTAGTGTACAAATCTTTAAAAGTTTTCCCATGCATGTAGTCATACATATATAAACATATTTAATGTGATTTCACTACATGTATTTTTATAACATATTTTTAGCTTGCTGATATACTGTGAACATATTTCAATACCAATTAATATATATCTATACCATAATTTTAATGACACAATTCCATTGAATTGACATCCCATTATTTATTCCATTAGACTCTTTTTAATGGACACTAATGTAGTTTTCAATGTTCTGCCATTCAAACAAAATCTTTGTCTTTACATATTTGTGTATTTCTCTGGTTATTTTCTGAGGATACATTTCCAGATGTGAGCTCCATCCCCAGCACCTGCACAGGGCCTGGCACACAGTCATACTCAATAAATAATTGCTGAATGAAAGATAAATAAATGAAGGATGGAAATGGGAGGGGTTGCTGGGTCAAACAGCATGTAGACTTAAAGACCATTTGGCGGTTTACCAAAATGCTCTCCACAAAAGTTGTAAAAATATTAAAATATACTCCAAACAGCAGGATATAAGACTGTTCATTGATGAATGAAAGAGAGAGAGAAAGGTGGGGGGAGAGAGAGTGTGTGATAGGAAGGGAGGGAAGGAAGGAGGGAGAGAGAGACAGAAATAGAGAGGGAGAGAGAAACAGGAAGGATGAGAGGGAAAGAGGGAGGAGAGAGATAATTGCCTAAATCTTTCCTCTTTTTCCTTACCCCCCTGACACAAATCCCTCAGTGTGGAGATGGCGTCACTTCGCTGCTACGTGTCTGCCTTGGCCTGGTGGAGCACCTGGGGACTCAACTTCCCGCCCAGGTTACCACGTCGGGGTGGGAAGACCTATATAAATCATATCCCTATCTTTTTTTTTGTTTGTTTTTGTTTTTGCGGTACGCGGGCCTCTCACTGTTGTGGCCTCTCCCGTTGCGGAGCACAGGCTCCGGACGCGCAGGCTCAGCGGCCATGGCTCACGGGCCTCGTTGCTCCGCGGCATGTGGGATCTTCCCGGACCGGGGCACGAACCCGCGTCCCCTGCATCGGCAGGCGGACTCTCAACCACTGCGCCACCAGGGAAGCCCCATATCCCTATCTTTTAAAATCCACATTCATAGCTATGAAAGTATCAGTCTATACTCGATACCCTTTGTCTGCAGACAGATTTGAGTATTGGGAAAGCTTGCAGGGATGTGACTGGCGCTGACCCCCAAGGCAGGTTGGTGGTAAATGAAGAGGGACCACGGTTGAGAGTAATCCTGGAACATTTAAGGAGGTGAGACTGGGCAGGAGGTGTCTGAGGAGACAGCAAATGAGGCAGCAGCAAGAGGCCACTGGCCTGGGAACATTTCATCCATGGCTTCCTGGCCTCAGGCCGCCGGACGTTAGGAAACGTGTGCAGCCTGCTCTGAGGAACTGTTTTACCCTGACTGTAACCAAATAGTTTGGACTTGAAGAGTTTTCAGGAAAAAATAGAAAATTGGAGATAAGCGTGTCTTTGAGAGGAGATAAATAATTTATCAAAATTTAACTTGTATAAAAGCAAGGCATGAAGCATGAAACAGCCAATGTCATCGCCAGGGTGTGTCAGAGGTTACTGCGGAGGGTTACATTTGGCCCTGGGAGTCTGTCCCTGCGGCAAAAATGTTGGGTTTTGCAAATTTTAATGAAGTGGCAGCTGCAACACTTGGAGAAAAAGGCCCCAACACTTTTCTCTCTGTTTAACGTTGCTGAAATCTGCTCATTTCTAAAACCAAGTCCAGTTCAGCAAAAGAAGCTAAGAGCTTCTCAGGACACCAATATCATGACTTTTTGCAGTGACCTAATGGCTCACCATAAAAAGACATAAAGAAAACTAAAATCTGCGATCATCCTGATATAGTAAAACATGAAGAAAACGTGACCAAATGTTTAATTTTCCTATTTTAAAAACTGAGCAACTGAATAACATTTTAGACATTTACCACCATGCCAGGCAATGTTCTAAGTAGGAATTAATTTATTAAATCTTCAGAATAGCCGTAAGAGGTAAATTCTATTATCGTCCCCATTTTACAGATGGGGAAAACCTGCCAGATCAGAGGATAGCGGAAAGCCCTGCTCAAGGTCTGGGAGAAACCACTAGACTATGAAAAATATTAAGTGTACATTTAGCAATCTATTTATCATTCACTATCTGGAAAATGCATCACAGTTGGTAGCGAAGCGTGGGTAAGATAAAGTGACTTCCGGGAGGCAGGTTCCCCAGATCAGGGGCACAGATGCCACCTACCTCCAAGACTTGAAAGCGCTGATAGATGTAGTGCACCATGGCCGGGTCCTGGGCGAACTGCGGCAGGGGCAGAAAGGCCGTGAGGATCAGAACGCTGAAAGCAGAAGCTCGCCTAAGAGCCAGCATGGTCCTGCAAACCACCCAGGGTGGGAATCTCTTCTGCTGTTGCTTCTCGAAGAAGGCTCAAGGGTCCAGGGGGTGGTCTCCTGCTTTCTAGCCGCTGCTGAGAAAAATTCTCCAAAAACAGCCAGACAGCAAAGCCTGCTAGTTACTCCCTCAGATGCGTGATCTTGCTCAGCAAGATGGTGATCAAGTCCAGCTGTTGGCAAGTCAGTCTCCGGAGGCCCTGCAGGCCGACTTGGGGTAGAGGTCTCCCTGGGTCCAGCATCTGTCACTATCACCTTTGACACACACGGACCCTCTGCAGGCTAGTGGCTGTCCCCTCTTCCAGGCCTGGGTGAGTGTGCATAGGGGTGGGATAGGGGGCGGGGTGGGCCTCTCCCCTCTCCCCAGCTCTTTCCTTTTTACTTTTGTTTTCTTCCTCCCTAGAGAACTCTGCAGTCCAATCCCAGGCCTGACCCAACACACACACCACCCCCAGCTTTTCAGAGTTGGACTCTCACTCAGTTTAGTTTCTGGCCCAGATTCCCGGGATCCTTTTCCCCAGAAATCCCTTTGGGAGACCCCACCCCTCCTCCAGACTCTTTGCATTCCTGCAGCTCTTAAAGGCACAGCAAGGAAAAATGAAAGCTCTGATATACCCGGTCTCTGAGCAGCCTGGGCACTGGGCCCATTGCCTCTTGGGGAGAGAGGTCCAATAGGCCACAGGTCTAGCCACCCAGGGAGGCAGCTGAAAAATCTGAGATTCACGCTCAGAAGAGTTTAAGAGCCAAACAATTACTGATACAGGGGCATTTCCAGAGCCAAACCATCAGGAAATGGAACTCCTTAGCGTGGAGGTCCTTGAGTTTTCTCAGTCTCCAGTAGCAGAATTCCCTTCACTTGCAGCTGCAGGCCAGCAATACATAGGACTCAACTCCTGCAGGCCCCAGTCCAGCTGAAGATAAATCACATCCTTAGGACACAATTGTAAAATCTTCCAATTTTTTGCCTTTGCTGTCCAGGTCTACTTATCTCAACCTCTCTTCCATGGTTGGGTCCAGGATACTCACGGTTCTTCCTCAATCACCTACCAAAGTGGAGAAGGTTGGGGCATCTACGAGAAGTGGAAAGATCTCTGACCAGGAGTCAGAAGACCTGGGTTTGTATTTGGTCCCTGCAAGAGACACTAAAAGAATTTTCCAGTGTGGCCCTTGCATGTCCTTGTCCCCATTAGCTGTTCCTCTCTACCTCTCTTCCAAGTGACGTCAGCCCCTAACTGTTCCTTCCCACCCTCTTGGTATCATCACAGACAATGGCTCCTCATCCTTAAGAACAATTCCTCCTATTTCCAAGAACTGTCTTTGATGACATTCAGCCCTCTGTATCTGCGGATGTGGAGGGCTAAGGGTACTAAGCCATTTTACATAAGGAAGGTGAGCATCGCAGGATTTTGGTATCTTTGGGATGCGGGGGTAGGGGATGGGGGATGGGGCAGTCCTGGACCGAATTCCCCGCGGATATCAAGGGGCAACGGTATTCCCCAATCTAGGTGAACTTCTGCTGATCCCTCCTCTTAAATTCTCATGAAAAATACTGCCCCACTCAGCCTCCTTCCCTGAGTGAGAATGCTCTTTGGGAAACTTTCCATGCCTGGCATTTTGGAATAAAGTGTTATGCTAAAGGTGCTCTGGTTGATTTTCTTTTAAAATTTTATTTATTTATTTATTTGGCTGCATTGGGTCTTCACTTCGTTGCTGCGCACGGGCTTTCTCTAGTTGCGGTGAGCGGGGGCTACTCTTCCTTGCAGTGCTCGGATTTCTCACTGCGGTGGCTTCTCTTGTTGCGGAGCACAGGCTCTAGTCCTGCAGGCTTCAGTAGTTGTGGCATGCGGGCTGAGCAGTTGTGGCGCACGGGCTTAGTTGCTCCGCTGCATGTGGGATCTTCCCAGACCAGGGATACGAACCCGTGTCCCCTCCACTGGCAGGTGATTTCTTAATCACTGCGCCACCAGGGAAGTCCTGGTTGATTTTCCTGATGAACTCCTTAAGTCCTAACTTTGAGACGGTGAACTAAGATGGATAAGATCCAGTGGAAGTGAAACTTACAATTAACTTTTAGGAGGCAGTGTTTTCTTGGGGTAATCTTTTTCTTGGTTTTCTAAAGCAGGTTTACATTATTTTTACAATGAAATATACATTCAATACTAATGGCGTCTAAAGAATTATTGGAGACTCGGTGAGAACAAAGTGGGAGGCCTCATTGTAGCACATGTCCTTGGGCTGTTTCCAAGGCTGCTGTTGCCCCCATGTCTCTGGAAGGGCCTCCAAAGAGCTTGGCCTCAGAGCCCTTCAGTTCAGTCCTGGCAGACGCTCCCTCTCTGCCCCACACACTCTCTTCAGTTACCTGGTTCACAGGCACAAGCCTGGTCTCTCCGCTCTAACTGCCCACACCTGGTCTTGGTTGACAAGCTTTTACTCTTGTGACCCTAGAGGCAGCAAAGCCCACAGCTGGTTCCCCTAACCCATTAGGACTGATGAGCCATGGGGCAGGACTGGAACATGAGTGGAAACCCTCATGTTCTTGTGACCAGAAGTTTCAAAAAGGAAAGTTAAACTCCTTTCGGAGATAGTCACAGCTTTGACTGACATACAGTGGCCAATGGTGGCCATCTTTATTCAGAGCAGGCCTTACTCAATGGAAAGAAAAAGATGGCTTGGTGCCCCTTAGCCTGCTGTTGGGATAAAATCATCCACTTGGTTCTTTTGCCTTCCTTACATTTAACCTCTGGCCTTGACCACTGCTATGAGCTAGCTCATTAAGGAGGCTAGTGACCAAGCACAGTGACCCCTTTTCTCCTTTGCAAGTGCCTGATCCATCTGCTTTCCAGTCCAGGTATCCTGAGAGAGGAAACTTAAGCCCTTTGACAGCTACCACTATGTCCTCAATGTGGTTGGACCTAAGTCACTAGTCATTGAGCTGTAAGCCCAGCCCCGAGTTGGTGTTTTTCCCTAAATGACCAGGCAGAACTGGACATACGAATGTCCAGCCTAAACAGCCCACCGAGGCTGATCTCATCCAGTTTTCCAGGTCCTCTTGGAATTCACTGTCTTCATTACTGGTGGTCCTTTTGCTGCTGTGCCTCCATATTAACTGACCCCCTGATTTCTAGAGCCTTCTCTGCTCCCTGCACCCTCCACTTTACTGAGGGGTGCTGGCTAACTCCAGGAAAGTCTGTGAGGAGGAGACCTTGTCTTCTTAAGGAGGCAGAGGCCAAGTCAACAGAATTCCATCTGGGATACTAGAATTCATCATCTGGATCTGAACAGGATGTCTGTTTTTTTCTTCTCTTCTCTTTTTTCCCCAGATTCTTCCCTTTATCTTTTATTCACCACTCCTGCCCCCCCCACCCCACCGCCAATAGCTCTTTGCCTTAATGTCATCCTCCAATCTTCCAACCTTTTACAACTAATTGCACTGTTTCCTGCTTGAGTGACTGGAGCGGCCTCTAATTCCCTGTCTCTTTAGATAAAACATTGGCTGCTTTTATGCCAAAAGGAAAGCCCTTTAAAATGTGACCTCAGCCAACCCCTTGTGGGGAGGAAAACATTTTTCTCTATCCTTCTAGGTTCTTCTGGCTGGTCTAAGAATTAAATCGAAATGAGGCAGATTAACAAGAGAAAATCAAACAAAAATTTAAAAACACGTGTGCATTGGAGAGACCCAGGGAAACAGTAACTCGCCAGAATGGCTGAAGCCCTCACCTTAAATACCATCCTCAGCTAAAGACAAAAGAAGCTGTTGGGGTAGTGATTTGGGACTTCAAAGGGGAGGAAGGCAATTCACATGGAGATGGAAAAGCAAATGTTTGGTAAACAAATGTTTGCTGGTTCCTGTAGAGACAGAGGGACACAGAGAGAAATTTTAACAGACTTTGCTAGGTTCCTTTCTGTCTGTCACAGCTGGTTCTTACTTTGTTATCTATAGTGATGGCTCCCTTCCCAAAGGGAAGAGGTCCTCTATCTATGTTCTTTTAGGCAGTTAGGGGGAAGGTCAAAGTTTCTTCCTGAGTCTTGGGCCTTGATTGTTTTCAGCTCGAAATAATCCAAATGCCAAAGAGATTTTGGGGTGGGAAATTTTGCTCCCCTACAAAAGCAAGACATTTCTGGGGGTATACTCTCTGGAACAATACCTGTGGGGGGATGAATGGAGCATGAGTGAGCAAAGAGAGAAGTTCACCTGCAATGCAGTTGCAACAGAGGCATCAACCAATCCCACAAGGAGCTCTGGAACTAGGTGGGACCTTCAGACGTGTCCAGAATGGAGGCAAAGGGACGATGCCTTGGCAGCCCTGCATCAAGCACTCCTTGGTGGGGGCTGTTCCTGGGAAGGGAGCGTATATAACCTTGAGTAGGGCAGCTTCCTCTGGCTGAGGACACGGCCTGGAGAAGGACTCAGCTCTGAGCTGTTAGCGGCAACACCCACACAACTGAGGGAATGAGTCTCCTTATCCTGAAGGGTAGATTTGGCCAACATGCCGCAGCACCCACTTCAGTAGGATAAGCAGAGGCCAGACTTTGCCAAGTTTGTAGAACACACCAAATATTTTAGATGTTATGGTAAGAAGAATGAGAAACAATTAGAGTTTCAAGTAAACGAGTTACAGAAATAGGTCTGTGTTTCGGAGAGACGTCTCTGGAGGTCAGGTAAAGGCAACGAGACTAAATCCAAGGTGGGAGATGAGGATGCTGTTATGGTGATTCGTGGAGAGATCATGAGGGCCAGAACAAAAGTGGTGTCAGCAGAGAGAGAGATAAATGGATGTCATGATATTGTGATTGATAATAAGAAACATATTTGGTCTTCCACCACTGTTCCTGGAGTTTTCTTTGATGAGAGCCATTAAAGTGTCTTTTGTTTTGTTAATGAGGTGCCTTTGGAAATCACCTACGGATGGGGGCTGGTTGCCAGTGGAACCAACCTTGTGATTAAAGGGTTGAAGCTTTCCTTTCCACCCCCTGACCTGGGGGAGGGAAGAGGGGCTGGAAGTTGAGGTTAGTCACCAGTGGCCAATGATTTAATCAATCATGCCTCTGTAATGAAGCCTCCAGAAACACCCACAAGGAGAAAGAGTTCGGAGAGCTTCCTTGTTGATAAACACATGGAGATTCAGGAGAGGCTGCTCCCAGAGAGTATGGGAGCTCCACGCCCTTTCCCTACACCTTGCCCTATGCATCTCTTCCATCTGACTGCTCCTGAGTTAGATCCTTTTATAATATGCCAGTAATCTAGTAAGTAAAATGCTTCTCTGAGTTCTGTGAGCTGCTCCAGCAAGTTAATTAAACTCAAGAAGGGGATTGTGGGAACCACGGACTTATAGCCAGATGGTCAGAAGCACAGGTGACATGACAACGTGGACTGGGGACTGGCATCCGAAGTGGAGGCAATCCTGTGGGACTGAGCCCCTAACCTGTGGGATCTGGTGCTACCTCCAGGTAGACAGTGTCAGCACTGAGTTAAATTGTAGGACACCCAGCTGGTAAAGGAGGTGGTGTGGGGGAAAAAAACATACATTGTCATTGGTGATCAGCACTGCAGACGTCTTTGAGAAATATTTAGAATGTACAATTGACGGAACTCGTTTACTGACCAAATGAGAGGTAGAGAGAGGGGGGAGCCGGGTTCACGGCCAGATTCTGCATTGTTTTCAACAGCCTCCATTCTGACCCCCTTCTAGTTTTAACATTCAGACTGCAGCCAGGGGGATGGAGCCAGTTGGCAAAGCTCATTACGTAATTCCCCTGTTTCGAAGCCTTGACTGTCTGCCAGTTCCTCCCCAATAAATTCCTCAGGCTCAGGGAAGGCTTTGCAAGGAAGTTAAATCTGAATGAAGATCTACAGTTGGAGTGAAAGGTAGGCCAAGACATAGGGGTGAGTGAGGTACCCTCCTGGTGGCCAGCAAGGTCCTCTTCAGGACCCAGTTTCTGCTACTCTGTTGATGTTTGCCGTATGTCTCCCACTCAGCTCTTAGAGTTTAGACACACATCCTTGCTTAGACTAACTCCTGAAAAAAAGGCTGGGCTTTCCTCTTGGGCTGGGCTCACAACTGACTCAGGAACTGGTCCCTTGTCTAAATCATGCTCACTCCCACCTGGCAGCCAGGACATACCACCTAACCGGCTCTTGGAAAGACACTTGGAAATTCACATGCATGATGTACAGACCTCAGCTCCATTATAGAGGCCCACTTAATGGGTTTTAGCATTGACCACAAATCTTATATTATCTTGAAGCGCTCAGTGCCTTCCATCTCCTAGAAAGCTGGACAAATGTGAGATAATTTCACTGTGGGCCACCATAGCCCACGTGCCTATGAAGACTGAGTGCTTGGATACATCAGTTTTACAAGCCATGCAGTGCTGAGGACATGATCCCTCACTTCTCTATCCCTGCTGGAGAATGAAACATTCTTCATAAACCAATT